TTCCTCTATTTCATGACACTGAATGATTTTTCATTCTCTTGATTTTTATTTTTATATTTTTTTGCCCTTTTTCTATATTTTAATGCAGACCTGAGAATGAGTTAGCTGAGTTGGTATGGGAAAATGGTCAGATTTTTATACATGGTCAGTCAATTAGAGTTAAAAAGTTCCCAACCAGTAATGCATTACCATCCCACTCTCTTAAGTCAAGAGATGAAGATTTGGGGAATGCAACTAAGACAAGAACAGGAAAATTTGGGGAAACAAACTGTATGTTGAACGAAATTCCAATTTCAGTGCCATCAGGTGAATTGGGTTTGAGTCAGGATGATGACATGGTACCTTGGTTGAATTATCCAATTGATCAGTCTTTGCAGGATGAATATTATTCTGATTTCTTGCCTGAGATATCTGGTGTCGCTGTAAATCAGCCGTCAACCCTTGATAACTTTGCATCATTTGATAGGAGAAATAGCGGAAACCTGTCAATCAGGGATTCCCAGTCTCGTTCTGTACATGATGTTTCTAGTTTTGAACAAGGAAACATGCCAAAGGTTTCTGAACCAGCAGATGCTAAAGCTGTTAGGAATAGAGGTAGTACTAGTCAGTTCAACTCGCTGTCATCTGGCTCATCTCCATATGTTAAATCAAGAGTCGTCAATAGGATTTCTGATAGCATGGGCATTGCCTCCACCCAACATGGTGTATGTGGGGATTCAATTGGGGTTCCAACTTCAGTTGATGGTTTTCCTATAACAAAGATGCAGAAGCAAGATTCATTACCACCTTCTAGTAGCTCTGGCTTGATAAATTTTTCTCATTTCTTGCGTCCTGCAGCCATTGTTAAAGCTAGTCTCCAAAACATAGGTGCCACGGTTAATGTCGAAAAGAAGGGAAGTAATGACAAGGGCTCTGCTGCAAATAGTAGAAACCCTGCTGAGTCGGAGTCCACACTGATTAATTCAAATAGTGGTTTAGGGAAGGAAAAATGCTCTCATTGTCAACCTACCATTGTGTCATCGAAGGTTAATGTAAAAGGATCAGAAGCTAGACCTGCAGAAGAAACATTGGCTGCTGAACCGCCTCCTGCTGTCCGTCAAGATGATGCCCTTAGGACTGAAGGGAACCATACTCAACTAATTGGTGAAGGTGCTTCTGGAGGACTGCCTGATTGTGAAAAGGCTGTAGAGTCCATAGCTGCTTCTTCCTCTGTTTGCTCAGGCAATAGTGCAGAGAGAGCTTCTGATGATTCACCACATAATTTGAAGAGAAAGCAGTGTGATAATGAGGAATCTGGATGCCCTACTGAAGTGAGTTATATATAACTTGCTGTGTCTTTGTCTAGGTGTTCTTGTAATCCATTTTCCATATAACAAGAAAAACAAAATTGTTTGCAGGATGCTGAAGAAGAATCAGTTGAAGTTAAAAAAGCAGCTCCCGTCAGACCAGGTACAGGTTCTAAGAGAAGCCGAGCAGCTGAAGTGCATAATTTATCTGAAAGGGTATGGAAAGATATTCAATTTTTATGTTCATACTGAGAGAGAATGCTTCACAATATGTTGTTTTGCATGTAGTTGTTTCTAGATTGTGTGATATTGACCAGTACATATCTCTGAGCAGAGGCGGAGAGATAGGATCAATGAAAAGATGCGTGCATTACAAGAACTCATTCCAAACTGCAACAAGGTTGGCACTCTTATCTGATTCTTGTTTGTTTCTGATATACCAACTTTGCATGGAGTCAAGGGATTTACCTTAGAACTCTGATATAAGGCCTTTATGGATGTAGAATAAAAAGATTAAAGCACTCCATGCTGATGACAGTTTTTTTTAATAAAAAATCTCCTTCATATATCTAATTGGACCTTTGTTGGAACTTATGATGGTTTCAAACTTTCAGTGGTTAATTAAATTAAGGATTAGGACAGTAATCAAACCAACAAAAACTTACTAGCATTTGCAGCTTCAGTATTGTTGATTTTGTAATTTAACATTGCAAGGTGGACAAAGCTTCAATGCTTGATGAGGCCATTGAATATCTCAAGACACTTCAACTTCAGGTGCAGGTATGATCTTGTGTGTGTGTGTGCAAGTCTGCAAGTTTAGTTTTAATTTTCTTAAGGATAGTCAAATAACTGTAGTGTATAATCTTTATGCAGATTATGTCTATGGGAGCTGGATTGTATATGCCACAAATGATGTTACCAACTGGTTTGCAACACATGCATGTGGCTCACATGGCGCATTACTCTCCCATGGGTGTCGGGATGGGAATGGCTATTGGTTATGGAATGGGGTTGCCTGACATGAATGGTGGATCTTCTGCTTGTCCTTTGGTTCAGGTACCTCCCATGCATGGAGCCTCTTTTCCAAGCCCACAAATGTCTGGCCTCTCTGCTTTGCAGGGGATGGCAGGATTAAACCTCCAGCCATTTGGGCTTCCTGGTCAAGGACTTCCAATGTCAATGGCATGTGCACCATTAATTCCTATATCTGGTGGACCTCCTTTGAAGCCAGCCATGGGGCTAAATTCCTCTGGAATGCCAGGTCCTTCGGATAATATGGATTCAAATATGGCTTCTAGTTCAAAAGATCCAATGCAGAAGATCAACTCACAAGCAATTCAGAACACTGGTGCCAGTAGCTTCATGAATCAGGCACTTAGTCAGGTTAGTGGATCCTCTTTTGTGTTTTTTTTTTTTTTATAAAGGACATATTCCTACAAAAGAAAATATTTCTGCATTGAGGGGAATGATTTGCTTTGTTCCTATTCTCTTCCTGTCACCTTACCAGAATGTTTAGATTGATTTGCCTTCTTTTATGCCTTTATTTGGGCTGGCAATCAAATGTTACTGTTTGTGGTTCCAGCGTCAATCAATAAATAAGAGTTTTGAACAGCCTGCTGCAGTGCAAGATAGTAGGCAAGCCTCGGAAGTGACTGGTAGTGTAGCAGTTGGATCATCCAATGGAAATGAGAAAGTACCTGATAGGTTAGTTTACTTGAATTTTCAAGTTAAAATCATGTTTCTGGAATTGGCTCTTTGGACAGTCTAGAATATTATATTTGCTTCTAAGTGCAGGTCATGATTGACAGTTGTTTCTCATCACATTGATTGAGGAAGAGGGATCCCTATTGCTTTCTTCCTTGGGAGATTGAACTTCTGCAATGGTAATCTGAATACCAGTTTCAGGGAAGTACAGTTACAGTTTGCACAAAGTGTGGTATGTTGAGGAAACCCAAAATCCTTTTTTTTTTTTTTCTTATGTACATTGATTTACATGACCCATGCAAATAATGCAATTAGAGCATGAATTCATATATCTGTTCTATTGTAAACCGCCGATGAAAAGTCATTTGAGTTGATAAATGATATTTACTTTCCACTAGCATTCTCTCTCTGTCTCTTTTATTTTGGTTGGAATTTTGTAATCTTGCACAAGAACAAACCTAGAAGTGATTAATTTTTCAATGTTGTTGAGTATAACATTGGTAAATCCTCTTTTTGTTTACCATGCTTAATAATGAACTGAAATTTAATTCATCATATTGATCAATCATTTATCAAGATTATTGGAATGATATCCTTATTGTTCTTCCAGCATTAGAGGGATTTTTCAACTGTAACTAGAAACTGAATGAATGTACAATCTTATTCAGGTTTTCATGAAGGAATGTTGTGTTTCTGTAAATAGTGAGTAGAAAGCTTTGATGAAAATGGGTTAAGCAGTAAGCATGCTGTAAGGAATTCATATTGATGGAGAGCCCTCCAATGGAATCATTTCCACTACAAACACTTGGGCAAAATATGTAGTATAAGGAGCAACATTTCAAGCAGACAAAGGTTTTCATAATTTGATTAGACTTGTCATAATGTTGCCTTTGTAATTAAACTCAATCAATCAAAACCCTAAAAATTTCCCTCTTTCTACAGAACTTGAAAACTAATGCTTGGAATTGCATCCATGAGATTAACTGATTGTTAAATCAAACATGTGGTCATGCTTGATTAGGCTTCTCCTTTCAATCTGTATAAAAAAATAATGGTGAGCCAAGCAAATGTCATGACACTGACCTTAATGTTTGTGTCATCATCACCAACAATACACTGACATTGACAAAAGATAAATTTGAGTTTCAGTTGTGGTCTCAACTATAAAAGTCAGCAGATGTCCATGTGCTTGTGTTTCTGCCCTTCCCCAACATTAATCAGTTTCCTGGGAAACATAATTTAAGCAAATTCTTACACACGGATAACTTTACCATAATCAGATGAATTTGTCAACTAGTTGTCTCTCCCTGAATAAGTTAATACTAGTATTTAATTTAACCATAACAACCAATGGAATCATAAACCCAGCTCACTCAGCTATATATCAAACATGTTTAAACCTTTGCAATCATTGTAAGACACAGATTCATTCTGTTTTAAAATAAAAAGAAATCGTGGTTAATGCAAAAACTGATGCATTATTCAACATGTTTATGTATGTAAGTTGGAGGGGGAAAGAAAAGAAGAGACATATTGGGGTGGTTGACTTAGGAGAGAACAGCTCATGTTCTGCTTTGAGTGGCATGACATGATGAGGTATATATGGAGATAAGAAGAATCTTCAATTTAAAATCAAAGAGAGGATGTGCTTGAATCAGGACATTACTGTAGGTGAAGGAAACTTCACAGCATTAGAACAAGGAGACACAGGGGACAGCTATGTAGATCATATCATAGAATTAATTAATTAATTTGTATATATATATTTTTTGCTAAACTCCGGGAATGTGCCTAACCTAATTAATTAAATACTACCATTAATAAAATGATAAACAAATTATTGAATTTTATCTTTTTGGACAATTATTACTTAATTCCCAATTGTGTATTCTGTAATAGTTTAATAAACATTTTGTACTGGCATGCAACCCATTGAATCCTTGTGTTGTTTTCTGCATAAATTGAGATTGGTAAAAAAGAGGAACGCTAGCTCAAAGTTTACTTAATGAATATTGAGTAATGATCCATCCAATTATTATACAGTAATTTTTCTCAAAGTTGTTGAGATTATTAATCCTTCGAATTAAATTGATAATGATCTTTGGTTTTGAAAATTATACAAAAAGCTAAGAAATACGGGAGAAGTCAGGTATCATCTGAAAGCTACATGTCACAGAAGCTAGTTAAGGCCAAGAATAACAAACAGTACATTGTGTATTTACTTAACTGAACAACAAGTCTATAAGGGGATGGATGTGAATTGGCTTCTGGTACTCTCACAATTAATTGCACTGTACTGAATCTGCAAATCTTAACTAATCATGGATATTTCTTGTGTTAAAAAAATTTTCCCTAGCTTCCTCAATTCTTCACCCTGACTTTGTATTGGGAATCTTAGGGTGGACTTAGCTGAATTAGGGTATTACTTAATAATCTACCAAAACCAAAAACTCATTTTCAAAAATAGCTGTTCTTGGTTTTACATGCAGAGGTGGCGGTGTTGTAAGTTTATAGTTTTCCCAATGCTGCCAAAAGCCCTTAATTTTCAAACTCTCCTTAGACATATGCTAGTCAAATTATTGGCTGCTCCTCTCTATCAATTGCATCTGGACCGTCCATTGAAGATGGAACCCACTTTTACATGCTACGTGGACCAACCAGGTTAGACATTGGACACAAAAATTCAAATGTATATATGTCTTCAATCACTCTCTTGAAGGTGACATTGCTTTGCTATTAATTTGATTCCCTACCATCCTTCAACTTCACTTTCTCAACTTCTTTATCTCTCTTTCTCCTCTCCTCTATTCAAAGCTGTCATCTTTTTCATTGTGTTCCAGCTTCGCCACATGGGGAGACACTCTTGCTGTTACAAGCAGAAACTAAGGAAAGGTCTCTGGTCTCCTGAGGAAGATGAGAAACTTCTCAATTATATTACCAAGCATGGTCATGGCTGCTGGAGTTCTGTCCCTAGGCTAGCAGGTACATATCCTTTGTTTCTTCAATGCAGAAATGTTCAGTTTTCATCAAACATAACGCTTCCTCATATGAATACACATGTATGTATGCTGCCAGGTTTGCAAAGGTGTGGGAAGAGTTGCCGGTTAAGGTGGATTAATTACTTGAGGCCTGATTTGAAGAGAGGAGCTTTCAACCAGCAGGAAGAGAACTTGATTATTGAACTCCATGCAGTTCTTGGTAACAGGTATTCTATATATGCTACTTCTTGTTTTTGGTACTTTGGTCAACATTTCTAGAGGATGTATGATCAGTTTGGTTGTATTGGTAAATTTTATGTTACTCCTTCAGATGGTCTCAGATTGCAGCTCGGTTACCGGGGAGAACAGACAATGAGATTAAGAATTTATGGAATTCCTGCATTAAGAAGAAGCTAAGGCAAAGTGGAATTGACCCCAACACTCACAAACCGCTATCTGAGGTTGAGAATGATAACAAGGGCAAGCCACCTACAGCCAACAGGAACAGTGAGAAAGTTTCTGTAGGATCTAATGAACTTAAATTCAGTGAGAAACTCCCAATTGAGTTTTCTTGCAGCAGCAGCAGCAATGGGAACAATATGACAAGAACACCTCAGACTCAGGATTTGTTGCTGGAGACTTTTACTGCCTCCCATTACTGCTCCACCAGCACCACCACTACCACCACCAGTTGCAGGCCATCTGATGTGGTGGGGTATTTCCCTTTCCAGAAGTTGAATTATGGACCCAATATTGGATTCTCCATGAATCAAAGTACTTCTCTCTCCTACAATCCTAATTCATCCAGCTCCTCTGAGATGATTTCTGAGTTCAATTCTCAAACGGTTATCCCTACCATGTCAGGATCACTTTTCCAAACCCCTATTCACGTAAAGCCTTCTGTTAGTCTTCCTTCTGATAACCCTTCTTCTGTAGGCTTATGCGAAATGAACAGGGTGCAAAACTGGGAGGGCAGCAGCTTCAGCAGCAATGGAAGCAGTAGCAGTATTGAATTACAATTTGAAAGCAATGTCTACTCCTGGGGACTAACAGATTGTGGAAAATCCAATGCAGAACCTGAAATCCGTACACTGGAAGGGGATCCAGATGACCTTAAATGGTCTGAATATCTTAACGCACCATTTCTTCTTGGAACCACAATGCAAAGCCAATCCTCTCAAGCCATGTACAATGAGGTCAAACAAGGCATCTTCGCACCAGAAACAACAGAATCAGGCTTCCGATACGCATGCTAAGGATTGCCAGAGGCCTTTGGATATACCCTTTAACCTTTTATTTTCAGATGTAGGTGTGTGCTATAGTAATATTCTTGTCTTGACTTTGTATATGTGTCTTATACAAAACTTTTATGATTCTGTTACTCAATATATTAATTTATTTGTAAATTTTCATGAAACATGTTAGAATTTGAGAATAATGGAATTTCTGCTGTTTTTATTGGATTTTGAACACATCCACACAACTTTTGGTCATATTTCGCTTTTAATACTATCCTTTTCTGGGGTGAATGGAAAATGAAGGGACCATTTTTGTTAAATGGGCGTCCATTGTTGTCTCCTAAGAGATGGAGATAGTTTTCACTTTTTTGACAGTGTTTTCTTCCCTTGAAGACTTGACCCTTATATACTTTAAGAACAGGGAAACCATGGGATTAGAATGTAAAAATGAAATGCAATAAATCAATACAGAAGAGGGGAAAAACATATGCAACAAACTTCCAATTGTGCTGAAGCCAAAGAGGATATTTTAGTACACAGTGACAAACTCCATACAAACCACTAATCACATGTGTGGGGCTAAGGAGTTTTACTTGATCCGTGTAGTACAAATTTTTTGGGGTCCCCCCAAATTGGCATCCATTTTCATCCATTTTGTTAAAGTCATTAATTTTATTTATAATAATATTTAAAAATATTTATTTATAAATTAAATTTAATACATTAAATAATAAATATTAATTATTTTATCAATTCTCAATTATTTTTAATAAACAAATTAAAATAAAAATTTAATTATTTTAGTAGGTATAACAAAATTAATGATGACCATAACCATTCCTAAACAATTAAGGCCATATCAATTATTTTGCAGAAGCAAGCATCTCTCCCTTGAAATTGAATCTCTCATCTTAATTCCATGGAAAACATGGTATTTTCTTTCAACAATATCTCAGGGCTCTTGCTTAGTTGGCAGACAATGTGTATGTGTTATTTTTTAAATTCATACCACAAATACATGTGAACTAAATTATATTGAATAAGCAAATAATTATAATTTATTTTTGGTACTGGAGTTTTTTTTATTTTTGAACATTTTGACATGGGATGAGTTTGAAACCCGCCAAGAGATGAAAAATGCATCTATTCAATGGCTAATGTCATTAGGTCTCTAAGGTCAAGTGCGTGAAGTTTTTTTTCTTAATATCAAAAATTGACATATAAGAGATAAGAATGCAATGATGATGCCAATGTGAGTTATAAAATATATGGTTTTATTTAATAAATTTAATAATTATAAAAATTTATATAATATTGTCAAATTAATGTGCATTGCATTGCATTACTGCCGACAAAAGCACCAAGATGATCAAATAGAGTAAGCAACTTTGCTTTAGATTCAACTTAAATAATTGGATTTATTGATAAGTAAATATTATATGTAATTTAAATTTTAAGTTTTAGGGTTAGTACTCAAGTTAAATTAATTAACTGATATGAGATGTGCATCCTTAAAATCGTTTAAAAAATTTAATTTTAAGATATATAATAACCAACTCAAGAATACTATAATTTTTTTTTTTTTAAAAAAAAAACACACTATTCTAAATTTAGAGTGTGAATCTAAAGGCCTCATTTTGAAGATTTTAGATCTTAGAATAGCAAATATGTTGGGGTTTAATGAAAAGAAAAAGGTAGGCAACCATACCAAACCAGTTAATGATAAGGAATGTGCCAATGTGTGCATCAAATTATTTGAAGGAAAATATCAAATTATGGCTATTGCCTATTGCATTGTATTGAATAGTGACAAGGATATTTCTAATAATTAACATATCAATACAATACATTATAATATAGCAGGATGGAACAATGGAACATGACGAACATGATTAAACTAACTTCCTGTCTATTTGGCATTGGACTTTTATCCAAATTGAAAATGGTTCCATGATTCTGAGGAAACTAAACGACAAAGTCAAGTGTTTTTTTTAATTTTTTTTTCTTTGAAATATTAGTTGCCTACCGTAACAAAAGTTTCCATCTTTGATTTTAACTCTAAATTAAAATTTTTAAAGTTAGTGAGCACAACTCGATTGAGCTCTTATTGGTCTACAAGTCACTTGGTTGATGGTCATTTGGAGACCTCACCTCACCTCACCCTCCACAACCTCTGACCTTCTTTGTTCCTTGTTCCTTGTGTAGTTTAGTTCAGTTTGATTCATTTTGGACCTGCCATCCCCAGTTGGGGTTTTCTCATTTCTAGGGCAACTCAAGTTTAGGTCCATTGCTGTTTGCAATGTGAGATGTCACTATCCACAACTCTGTTCACTTTCATTATCAAAATGGTCCAAAGGGTACTAGCAACAGCAGCACCACAACTTTTTGATAGACAAGTCTTAATAACTTTTAAGATTAGTATCTGGATCAGATAAACAGGAGAGTGGAATGAATGCATTTTTTCCTATATAGATCTACCTCTGTCACAGATAAGATCAAATTCAAATGAAGCAACAAATGAAACTTAGATTTCATAACAAGTACACAAGAAGATATGAGAATGCAGCAGCATTCTTGCTGGTGCTGATCACGTTTGCATAATCAGCAGCCTTCATTTTTATTGTCTTCTAGCAATTTCCATTGAATTGCAAATTCTTTCAAATAACAGATGAGAATGAATTATACACGTTACTTAGCTAAGTAACTTGCACATGTATATGTGCATATGAGCCGACTAATGTAATTTCTATAATTTGAAAACCAGATTGTGGCAAGTATTGTCACAAGGGTATGGACAGTCAATGGCCTTCACCTCTGCTCTGTCAAAATACCAGTCTCCAACGGCTATAGCAATTGGCTGCGCATTGTTAACAATGAATTCATTAGATATTCTACCATAAACCATATAAGAAAAACATAAAGATAGTAAATCACAATATGATGAAAGGGAAATTCAACCAAACTGCAGCATATTGACACTCTCTTAATGAACTACAGTCATGTTTGGTTGGTGGTAATGACTATTTTTTTGGTCAAACTATAAAGTAAATTTGTGAAACTTCCTTATGAAGCTAGGAAGAGTTAAGACTTAATGTTAATAATTTTCTACTAAACTAAGGGATAAACGAGGAATATGTATTTCTTTCATTTTTTAAGGAATAGGTATTCCTTGATTCTTTACTAATGTACAAGTAAAACTAGACATCAAAGCTTAATTATTCCTAATTTCCTATGAAAGTTTCTTAGTTTTAGCTTGTTTTTATAGTTTGACGCCACTACCACCAACCAAACAAGCCCTGAGGAGGTAGAGGTTATGGCTGAAGATAGGACTGATGCTGACTAGATGGCCTGAGGAGGCCCAAGTACTGAACCATGGGGGTGTCATTTAGGTTTCTATCTGATCAATGTTTATCTTCCTTTTTCCCTCAGTCAAACCTTTGGTTGATTGCATGAAATGGTTACATGGATGAAAGACAGAAACTGAATGCATGGTTCAATTTATTTATTTATTTTTACTTTAGAAAATGTTCACAGAATAAGAGACTGCCCAAGCAAAAACAATCACAATATTTTTCTCTGATATACACCACTGTTTTGATGCACATACCTTTTTTCTAAGGACAGGAGAATCATCTGCAAACCAAGTGTCTTGTCTCTCGGTTTGACAGTGAGCAAAACATGAGTTTATGAATAGACCATTCTGCTTAGACATTGCAAATCCTGTTATAGCATGCAGCATTTGACTCCTGAAGCCTGTTTCAGATGACAAGATATTCTCTTATGAGTAGGATAAATATATCTATTATGTCTTGAGTTTCATATAAAATCAAAAAACCATGTTTGCTCAAGCAATTTCACATTTATGAATCACCTTGCAAAAACCTAATTTGCACTGGAGAACATTTTGCATGATTTAACCTGCAATCATGCCAAAATCCATGTGGATCTGCTGATGATGGAGCAATACTGGATTGTATCTGATTTCCAACAGGAAAAGGCAACTTAGTCCATTTGTCTAAATATAAATTTTTTCACAAGTTGTAAGACTGCTCCACAGAGCATAGATAGCATAGCACCATTACCAAATGGCATGGTAATTACATTGATATTAATACATTGGTTATTTTGAAGGACCATTACCTGCCATGAATCATAAGCTGCATTAAGGATAAAAAGTGGGGTTTTGATGTTGCCAATTAAGTTTTGAGGGAAGAAGCACTGAACAAAAGAAAGTACCAGGAAAGTTAGCAGTAGGAATAAACTCAAATTAGAAATGTCTAACAAAAGAATAATTTACCGAAGTTGGATCAAGGTGGTCAGTGCAGATACGTGGCAGGCTATTTTGCACAGCCTGTGATATACACAAGAATTTGTGCACGTCAAATTATCAAACTTAGTGGAGAAATATGCTGAAAAATGTAACTTAATGACAAAGCATACAACTTAATCATCTTCTCGCAGTCTATTTCACAACTAACAGAATAGACTCTAAACCATCATATTAATTTGTGTCTGCTTAGTCATAGCTGCCTGGGGCCTTGACTTAGCCTTATTATGTTAGTTAGATGGTACTGAAAAAACAAAGGGACAAAAAGGGGAATGAAAATTAAAAATGAAATGAAAACAGCAATATTCCCAACCATTATATATGAACATATCAATATAGTACCTGCAAGCCCACCACACCGCCATATATATTCCTCAGGGTGTGACTGCCAGACACATCAACCCTATAGTGCCAGACAGGACATGTAAAGCAAATATTTTAGCAAAAAAGGGTAAAGAGCTGGTTTACTAGATGCCCTCTAAATTATTGAAACAATCTGTTTCTTAATAGTGCTTTAAATAGGAGTGCAAAGGATATCTTCACTTACGCATCCAGGAATAGACCAGCATCACTCAGGCACTTCACTTTAGTGGTTCCTGGAAACAGGTTCCTAAACTCATCACAGTGTAAAATAGATGCTAGACCTCCAGCAGAACACCCCGAAAGAAGAGCCTAAAATGCAGTTATTTTTTGTTAGAGGAAGGATAAGCATGTAACAGGAAACGAAGGAAATAATAATCAAGATAAACACAAACCTGATTTGCCTTATGCATTCCCTTTGACATTAAATCCTCCATAGCAGCCAACCAAATACGTTGTCCTCTAAATTGCAGTTCTGCAGCCTAAATGTAAAAACTAGCAAATTAGAGATACCATAAAAATAGCATAGCCAGATGATTACTCAACAAAATTATAGTCAATAGTTTTAGTCATTAAGGGAAAGAAAAAAAAAAGCAGCTAAAGGTAAAATATTCAGAAATGAAAAAATTAAAGGGAAAAGAAACCTAAATAAATTTTACTTAAGAATGAGAAATAGGTTTTCCAGGCTTCAATTTAAGGTTGAGAAGGAGCAAATACTAAAAAGGTGTTTTTGTCTACCTTATCTTCACCATCCCCAGAAAAAGAAGCACCATCACAATAACGAAGCTTTACTCTGTTCCAGTTGAAAAAATCTGGAATTCCATATGAAATAAAACACATTGATGGTCAAAAAATCTAATAATTTCAGACTTGGAGTATTGTCAATCCAATAGTGTGCATATAGATATAGTTCAACAGCAAACCAGGATTTTCTTCAGCTTTATCACTCAATATTCCAGTGAATGGTATCTTCTTCTCCATGTATGTAGATGATCCACGGCGGGTCTTCTTGCGGTACACACAAGTTTTAATGTTATTACACCATCCTCCTCCCTGGCATATATCTCAGTTTCATCAGATAAATGAGACAGAAAAGAAAACATAAGATATTTATATGACTTGTTCAATACTCATCTACCTCCAGCAGTGTGTGTGAGTGACAAATAACTGTATTTTTCTATCAACTGAAATGTTTGTTTCTCACAAACCTCTAGTTGAATGAGCCAGCTATTTGCTCCTGATCCATAACCTCTATGCAAATGATAACCTGGCAACGTACCATCCAGACATACTGAAAGGGAAAGATGGAACAAGGAGGTAATTAAATTAGGCCAAGATATACTGAAAGTGAAAGATAGAAGAAGTATGCAATTAAATTAGACCAAGATATATAGACTGTTCTTAAAGTGAAAGAAATATGTAATTAAATTAGACCAAGATTTGAACCAAAATTTCAACAATGACTTTTATTACTATCTAGTCATGGAAAGATTTAGCAAATAAATTTTAAGAGATTGATTAACAGACAACATAATAGAAGAAAAATTGGAAATTGAAAAATTGATTCATAATTAGCCAAAGAACAAGTATTAAACAAACATATTTAAAAAAAATGGTATTAAACAAACCAAAATAAAAAAAGTTTGACTGAGGAGTGGTGAACTCAAAATCCAACACCACAGGGCAAAAACAAAATAAAATTTAATCTACCTAGAAAACTAACCAACACCCAAACATCCGGCTCCATTTTTTTATATGGTATTTGGTACAGTGAAGTACAAGTCACCATAATTAAGTAGTATAGAATAAGCAAACAAATTAGGAGAACAACAAACCAGATGTAACTCCAGCAGTTTTGTGTCATATTTTACCAAAAAAAAAACCCATAAAAAAATGGGGGTGGGTTAAGAAGAAGAATTTGATACATCTAAATCCAGAAGTATGAAAAAGAAAAGCAGAGAGTGAACAAGTAGAAGGAACCTGCTCCTTTTGCGCCAGCACTTTGAATGAGAGTAAGTCCTACCATTACAGGATTGTAATTAGCATTAGAGATTCCATATTCATAAGACTCAATAAAAGACAGCTCCGTTTCATTGAAATCCAGAAACCCATTAACCAGTTTCCCAAATACAAGTCCTAAAACTACTCCAACCCACAAAAGCTTCATCTTTTGCCACCCAAATCTGGAGACAAAGCTTGAATCTGGAACAAGTGTTTGTGTTTGCAACCTAACTTACTGCTTTAGCTAGTAGTGCAGTGCAATGCAGTGCAATGCAGTGCGGCATTAAGTAATAGAGAAAGAAAATGCAAATTTATAAGCAAGGAATAGTCTTTATGGGGAAAAAAAAAAAGGGGAAATGTGACTGGTTTGAACTTTGAACTTTGATTTGAAGGAGCTTTATTTTTTGGGAGGTTTGTAGAGGGAGAGAGGATTAGCAAAGAAAAGGAGAGTGATTTTGCCGGGCTTTTTGGGTTTTCAAGGTTATAAATTAAATAAATATAATAGTAGAGTGGAGGCAATGTACATGAAATGAAATGAAATCTAGGAGGAAATGAGATCCAGAAAGAAGGGGCAGTTTAGCAGCATGTGATTTGAGTAAAAGATGAAACCAACTGCGTGATTGGCGTTAATGACATAAATGGGTAATGATATCTAATCTAAAGTGGCATACAGACAATCCATAGTTACCTTTTAGCGCTCTTTTATTTATTTCTGTGCGGTGGGGTGGATCCAAACCTTGAGAGCCTTCCAGCTGTTTTGTTGTTGCAGTATGACAACTTTAAGGACATTATCTTGGTTCTTCACAGGTAAAAAAAAAAAAAAGAAGAAAAGAAAAAAGCCTAAGGTAATCATCTCTTGTAAATATTTGTTTCAAAATTGGAATCCTCAATTTAAGTGTTGCAGGTCTAAAAGAAACGTTTTTTTTTCTTTTAAAGTAAATATATTAAAAATTTTACATTTTGTAATTTTAATTATATTAAATTGTAAAATAAAAATTATTAAATAAAGAGATTGTTTCTAATATTAAAAAACTCATCACTCATCTAATTGTTTGAGTTCTGCAACTTAATAAAATATGAATTGTAAAACACATTCTTATTAATAAATAGATAAAGTGACTAGATATGCAAAAATGGTAGAAGCCAAATGATCCAGTGACACCTTGCTTCGTAGATTCTCCTGCATTGCCTTTTCTGCTAGGCATACAATACAAGTAAAGAATACGGCTGAAATGGGCAATCTTTCTTCTCTCATTTCTGAATCTTAATTATCCCTTAATCATCTGCCTAAATTAAGTTTAATTATATCTCCACTTTTTCTTCTAAAATATCAACTTGCTCTAAAGTCTAAACCAAACCAATGGGCAGGTAAAGGCAAAGTAGGGTCATGTAATCAACAACTGCGCACAGCAAAGGGTTCCATTTCACATTCCTAATCATGATTAATTGGGATCAGGACCACCCCTCTTCCCCTATCTACCAGCAATCAACTTTTAAATCCATATTTAATCAGCTCCTACCGTTACCCTTGATGAGATTGTTACTACCAAACAAAACAAAAGTTTCAGTGTAGGAAAGGAACAAAACCCTTTTCTCTACAGATAAGTAAAGTTGCACATTCTTTATCAATTTGTTGAGGGAAAGGGAACGGTAGCTATACCTCTACTACATGCCTATCTTCATTTTCAAGCTTCCATGAGTTTATGCAAATTGTTCCATGGCAACATGTGCTGCATGCTCCCTTCGTTCCAAGTAAACATAAATTCCATCACACAACACATAACTTCCTCTAATTAAATTTTTGTGCATTTCTTTGTAATTTTTTTTTTTTAGATGAATCAAAAAATTTATAATAATAGAGAGTATAAGGGGTACTCCATTCATGGTTTTAAAAACACATTACAAGATAGTAACAATTAAAGCACTTCAAGTCAAATCAAAACAGGAGGGATTGAAAGCCTAAGTAAAACTAACTTCTAGTAATTTTTTGAACACAAAAACTAAGGGAGTTGCACCAGTGAAAAAAAGAAAACACATAACTTCTAGTATTTCTTTGTAATCTAATGTTGTAAGATGTAAACAATGAACTAATTAGGCTACCCAAATCCCAACAGCTTCTTTAGGGAATGTCTATATTTCCATTATAAGCTAATTCAATTTGAAGAAAGACAAAGGAAAAATAATTTATTAAAAAAGATATTACACTTAAAAAAAATGATCTAATTTATTTATTAATTTTAATTTTTAACATAACTTGAAGTCTTTTTTTTTTCTTTTACCACATTAATAATTATTCCATTCTTAAAAAGGACACATCCCAATTTCTAAACTAATATATGTGAAATTTTAATTATAATAAGTGTGTTTTTATGCAATTTTGTAATTTTCTCTATAATGTCAAGTAAAAATGAAACAAATAAAATATGCTATAATATCAAGGGTTAGATTTACTAAAAACATAAGTATTATCAGAATTTAAATTTTAGAATCAATATACAAAGAAATTAAGACTTAATTTCACAATAGTAATCTGCAACTACAGTTATAGGTTTTTTGATCCTTTAATACTCTTAAAATGTATAAAATATATTTTATATATTTAATATTCATTTTAATTAATGTTTTATATATTTTTAAAATTAATAAAAAAAATATAAAAACTAAAAAATAAAGCATTAAGAAGTTCTGTCTAACTTTCTAAAATGTATAATGAGCTCCTGCATGCATATTGGTAAACATCATAGAATCCTGTCTTGGGCCTTATATAATCTACCTGACCTGACCAGGCCTCCGCTCTGTATCTATATTGAGCTTTATTACCCACTCACCAGGCCCACCCATATATACTGCTCATTATACCTTTGCGGGCTAAAATCAATTTTTAGCCCCACACTTTATAAAATTAGTAGGTTTTAACTCTTAACCTTATAATATAACATTTTTAGCTTTTTACCTTACAAAGTTGATAGGTTTTAACCCCTCACCTTGCACAATTGATAAGTTTTAACCCTTCACCTTATATTATGGTACTTTTAGTCCATTATCTATACGAATTGAAGAAAATAACTCTCACTTAATATCAAATTATAATGTTCTGTTAGTTTTGTTAGCTAACTGTTAGTTTTGTTAGCTAACTGTTAGTATTCGTTAATATTTCATTAATGTAACTAAAAAATAAAATTGAATTTAAATTTTATGTTTTTAATAACGAAATACTAATGGATGTTAACAGTCAGTTAATAGAACTAACAGAATGTCATAACCCAATATTAGGTGAGAGTTATTTTCTTCAATTCGTACAGGTGAGAGACTAAAAATGTTATAATATAAGATGAGGGTTAAAATCCATCAACTTTGTATGGTGATGAGTTAAAACTTATCAAATTTATAAGGTAAAGAGTTAAAAGTGTTATATTATAAAATAAAGGGTAAAAACCATATCAATTTTGTAAGATAAAGGGCTCAATGTTGGTTTTTGCCTATCTTTGCGTAGACGGGGCGGGAAAAGCTAACTGATTCTTCTTCTTCTTCTCTCACTCAAGTCTCATACTCTGATTCCACTCTGCGCAAAACCTAAGTAAAGTCGATTTCTGAAGATGGGGATAAAGGTTTGTTAATTCCAATTCCGAACCCTCGACTGGAAATCAATTAGTAGCGCTATCTATTTCTGCTTCTTAACAAAATTGAATTGATTTTCTTTAGGGTTTAACAAAGCTTCTAGCCGATAATGCACCCAAGGCCATCGAGGAGCACAAATTCGAGAGCTTTTTCGGCCGAAAGATCGCCATTGATGCTAGCATGAGCATCTACCATTTCCTTGTACTCTTTTTATATATATATATATATATATATATAAATTAATTAATTGTAATTATTTATTCCCATATGATATTCCCTTATTTTCATGACTGCAGATTGTGGTGGGAAGAAGTGGGACTGAAATGCTTACTAACCAGTCAGGTGAAGTCACCAGGTTCTTATTCTACATTTTTCACCTTTGTTATTTCTTTATCTTGCTTCATTTCTTTTCTTTTGTTTAATGAATTTTAACATTTTATCTTTGATTTTTTTTTTAGTCATCTACAGGGCATGTTCACTCGTACTATTCACCTACTTGACGCTGGGATTAAGCATGTGTAATGTGTTTCTTCACCTTGATTTCCATCAGTTATGTTCTTAATTCATTGGTTGTTCACTTTTTTCTATATATTTATACTACTTCTCATAATTTTGTTTGCATCTCTTTCCAGCTATGTGTTCGATGGGCAGCCTCCAGATTTGAAAAAGAAAGAGCTTGCAAAACGGTACTCTTCTTTCTTTATCTTACTACACAGCTTGCTACACAATTTTTCAATGTCTACTATCTATAGCTACTCACACACACGTAGCTAGTAGTTGACAGTGCTTGTGCTTGTCTTGTCTAATTTTGGATTGCAGTTACTCGAAGAGGGTAGATGCTATGGGGGATTTGGCAGAAGCCGTGGAGGTACCCCTTTTAATTTGATCCCTAGTTGGGAAGTTGTTCTTCCTTATATCAACTTGTGATATTTAGCTACCATTTTTTTTTTTTTTTTTGTAATGCAGTCAGGTAGTAAGGAAGACATTGAAAAATACAGCAAGCGGACAGTCAAGGTGAGTCTTCTTTTCCTACCCTTTCTTTCCATGTTTTGCATTATCCCTTATGATAAGCATATAGGATGCATCATCTTCTTGAACACTTATATTTTGCTTCTTTGTTTGTGTTATAAATAAAAAATAAAAAATAAAAAAAGAGGGAAATAGTGCATTCAAGTTATTATTGCTTCTAATTCCACTACTTTTTCAGGTGACAAAGCAGCACAATGAGGACTGTAAAAGACTTTTAAGACTCATGGGTGTGCCTGTGATAGATGTGAGTTTATATTACTTCAAGAAATTTCTTGTGGGCATAAGGTTAAGTATTTTTCAGTAATATAGAATAAATTGAAGCTGGGAACCTGTATTCCTATTTCATCAGGCCCCTTCGGAAGCAGAGGCTCAATGTGCTGCACTTTGCAAGTTGGGAAAGGTATGTGTCCCCTTGATTCATGATTAATTAGTGCATGTTAGAGTCTATTAGTATAAAACATGAAAATCAAGGAACTCATATATTAGTGTTTGGTTTACTTTTCAGATTTCTTCTCCATTTGTTCAAATGGCCAACTTTTCTATGATGTATTTAATCCTTATTTGGGGATTATGCTTTGAACTCACATACTAAGAAAATGCTAGTTAGTAATTGAAAGCTATTTGTTTCAGGTTTATGCAGTAGCTTCTGAGGACATGGATTCTTTAACTTTTGGAGCTCCTAGATTCCTTCGCCATTTGATGGATCCTGGTTCAAGAAAAGTCCCTGTAATGGAGTTTGAAGTTGAAAAGGTGCTTTGAATATTGAATATGATCTATTTGGGTTGTTATTTAGGCTCCTTTTTGTTGAGTTTTGAATTTTGTTTTTTGTTTATTTTTATTTTTTTATTTATTAACTATTACTATATTTAGAAACCAGAGTTTATTATAAAAAAAAATTAGAATTTAACGTATTTAATCTAAATATAATCTTGGTTACTAATATAAAAAAGGAAAACCACAAACCAAAATTCAAAACTCAACTAAATGGAGGCTTAGTCTTCTATGCTAATATTTTAATTGACAAGTCTTTCAGATTTTTTAGGATCCAAATTTTACTGTGGTGTGGATCAATTCACTGACTTATGCGTTCTTTGTTTTTCAGATTCTTGAGGAGTGAATCTTACCACGGATCAATTTATTGACTTATGCATTCTTTCTGGATGTGATTATTGTGAAAGCATTTGGGGTATTTGAGATTTCTTTTCCGGCATTTAATTGGAAGGGTATATGCTTTGCATTAGAATTGGTTAAAGGATATGTTGTTTAAATCCATAGGCACTGGGGGACAGACAGCTTTGAAACTAATTCATCAGCATGGCAGTATAGAGAATATAATGGAGAATATAAACAAAGATAGGTATATTGTTTTTCCTTTGCTTGAAAATTATCTTTCTGATGTGTTGTTTTTTGCTTGCTATGTTTGTGCCATGTGAGATGATTCAAGTGACTGATATTTATTGTTATTTTCACTGAATTATGACTTCTGTAAGTTTTGGTAATATTTATGAGATATTTGAATATTTAGTTTTTCTAAGCAAGTGATTTTGCATATAATTAATTATGTGAATGACTAATATTGTACTCCATATTCTCAAATCTATTTGGTAACATTGTTGTTTTATCTCTAAAATGGGAATTCCCTCCTGATTGGTTACCATCAGAAAACTGTTGATAATATATCTCAAGCACCTTTACTGCCACAAAGGAAAAAAATTATAACAGTGCTCCTTGACTTTAAGAGCTTCCAAATTGATGGAACAGGCAAGTGTCTTTTCTGACTAAATTATTGCTATCCATATTCAGGTATCAAATACCTGAAGATTGGCCTTATCAAGGAGCTTGACAGCATTTTAAAGAACTATTGGTCCATTCTGGTGATGAACAACTTGATCTTAGGTGGACTGCTCCAGATGAGGAAGTGACTGTCTCATTATCCTGATTGAATGCTCTGTTCCATATATTTATTAATATTATTTTTTGGTTTGTACATCCTTGGAACATATAAAGGGTTACCTTATTTTGCCTCTTTCTATTTAACAGGGGTTGATTGCCTTTTTGGTGAATGAAAATGGCTTTAACAGTGACAGAGTGACAAAGGTGTGTGCATTCCAAATTAAAAATGGTTTATTTCACACACACACTATGTATTTATATCTATTGGTTTTCTACATCTAAGTTGGTCTATTTCCCAATATATATTAGGCAATAGAGAAAATTAAAGCAGCAAAAGACAAGTCATCACAGGGTCGGTGAGTAATGCTTAACCATATAAAAGTGGTTCACTTCTTTTAATTCCTTCACTGATCATGCTTTATTTATTTATTTATTTTTGCAGACTAGAGTCATTTTTTAAGCCTGTTCAAAGCACATCTGTACCTACTAAGCGGAAGGTATGTATACATCAGGCATTTTGGGAAACCAGCACTTGATTCATGTTTGTCTTATTGTGACTGGATTCTAATTAAAAATGGCTAATTTTCATTCCTTCTCTGATAGAATTTCATGATCATGCAACTTCAATTTTCTTGCTAGATCTTCTTTTATCTGGATCATGTTAGGTCTCACTTTGTTTTTGTTAAGGCTGTTAGGAAATTTGTTTGTCCTACTCACCATTATCATAAAAAAAGCAGTACTTTCTTATGCTACTACAACTAGCAGTGACTGAAAGAAGGTACTTCTATAGAAGTATAGAAACATGCTAGGTTTCTATATTTCATATTTTTTTTTTTATTTTTTTTTTTGGACTCCTAAATAGGTGCTTTATAGTTTTGAGAAATTATTTTTGGTTGGATATCTGCATGCTTTTTGCTCAAAATTTTACGTAAAAACTGGTGTGAAAATAACTCATTCTTCCATGCTTGTTCTGATCTGTTGGAAGTCAAGAACTGATTGGCTGCTACTATAATGCCTGAGCTCACTGGTTGACAGGGAACCAAATGCATGCTTCAATCTCCCAAACCAACTGTCAAGTCTAAGATATTCTCTCTGCAAGTTTGTAATATTCTGAGGCCCTACTGTGTTGGCAGCCAAAGCCTGCCAACTCTAGGTCTACATTCCAAGCACTCAGTACCATTTTCTAGAGGTCTCTGCTTCAACGCATGATGCCGAAAACCCTGGTGAACCTTCAGCCAATCTAAGCTCTAGTCTATTCATTTAATGTTAAAGATTTTACATAGTTAAAATTAATGTTAGGAGAAATAGAGTAGCTTGCTATTATTATTATTCTCATTTTATAGTTAATTCAGTGGGAAGCATCCTACCTTCCTTCCCCTCACCCTTTGCCTCCCTTCTTCTGTGGTGTTTTTCATTTCAATTGCGTTTGGTAGTTAAAATTTTACAATTCTAATTCTTTTTAGGGATCGAGTTGCCAAGCAGTTTTGCCATAACAAAATGAGTTTGAAGAAAATTATAGTTTCTTATTTTATCTTTTTAGATATTGTTACTACAATCATTTTGGCATCAGTGATATTCCTTTCATTTTGCCCCTAGTTACTTAAAATCGAGAGTTGGTCTCAGTATGAAGTTCAAGGGGAAAAGAATTAAGCAGAAACAATGTAACTTGTACAGGATCCCTGCTGTTAGAAGCATTGACTCCGTTCTGCCACCATTTTGAAGTTTCCCTAGAGCTTCTTGAATTGCAGGGTTTGGATAATCATGTTTGGTTATTGTTCTGTTCTATCCATGTTCACCTCTCCCTCTGAATTCGACACCCTCTGCATCGCAATACTGGTTTTGATTATGTTCTTAGTTGTGGTTCACTATATAAATTTTTTTTGATTGCCTTATCAGGAAACGCCAGAGAACACCTGTAAAGAAACTTCTAATAAAAAGTCCAAGGCTGTTGGTGGTAAGAAAAAGAGGTTATCATAGCTGCATTTTATCAGGTAAGGACACGGTGTTTTTACAATTTTTTCTCCTTCGTGTTTTGCAGCTTACAGTATATGTTTTAACAACAGTTTTCTTTTGAAGTTTTCCCAGGAGGTAGCTTTGTTGGAGCTCAGAAGCAAGAAAACAGAAGGTGAAAATCAAGGAGAGATCAACAGGAAGAGAGAAAAACCAGAAATAAACATTAAAAGGAAACATGAAAACCATACGTACTTCGTTCTTCTCTTTATTATTATACATTGGTAGTAGGTGAACAATTTACATAAAAAATATTGTACATATCACACTGCAATAAAAGATACACTATATTGATATGATTTTCACCTACTCCAACTAAAGCAAAATATTGTTCCATTTAACTAAGTATCTAGTTGAAATTCAATTCTTCAACAAGCTTGCAAGCTGAGATAATGGATGCATGTTTATCCATTTTTTAGTGTTAAAGTTAGGATTGCATAATTCATTTTAAGGTAGATTAATCTAATGTAAAAACCTATACTGCGGTTAAACAAGTAGGTTAATAAATTTGATTTAAGATTTTCTGCCTTAGCCTTTGCGGGCACAAATCCGCAATCCATATGAACTCAATAACAACCAACCAGCCAAATGGTTGAAATTGTAGATGAGACCCAAGCCAATTACTAGTAATATCATAAGAATGGGAAATCGTTTCTCATTAACATCAAAACCACTTCCACGCCTACCCATAGTTTGTGAATGAAAAAATAGATATAGGCCAGAACCTACAAGGGACACAAATACAGTCAAATACCCCAAAAATAACCGTCACTTCCCTCCCTCACTATAAATACACTCAATCATCCATCCCTAACTTGTCTTGCTTTCCATTCTCAACCATGAGGCCCCTTCTCATCATTCTTGCTCTTCTACTGGCAAACGCTGCTGCAGATTGTGATGTGCTTCAAGATCTCTGCGTTGCCGATTTGTCCTCAGGTATGTCCTACCATATCCATCGTAAATATATATACCATATAATGTTCCTTGAATTAAAAATTAACTCATCCAAATCCATACACGTACGGCAGAAGTGAAAATAAATGGGTACACCTGCAAGAATGCTGCAACTGTAACTCCGAATGATTTCTTCTTTGCTGCCCTTGCCAATCCATCCCCCATCAACAACAACACCCTGGGGATTGAGGTGACTCTTGGTAATGTTGAAAAAGTCCCCGGACTCAACACGCTTGGTATTTCTGTAGCACGCATCGACTACGCCCCTGGTGGGATCAATCCTCCCCACTCGCATCCACGTGCCTCTGAGATTATCTTCGTTCTGGAAGGCGAGCTGGAGGTTGGATTCATAACCACTGCAAATGTGTTGATGGCAAAACAAATCAAGAAAGGTGAGGTATTTGTGTTCCCAAAAGGGTTGCTCCATTACCAGAAGAACATTGGGAAGGGGCCTTCTGCTGTTATTGCTGCCTTTAACAGCCAGCTTCCTGGCACTCAGTCTGTTGCTGCCTCCTTGTTTTCAGCCACACCAGCATTGCCTGATAATGTCTTGGCCAAGGCATTCCATATGTCTACCCCGGAGGCTGAAAAGATTAAGTCAAGGTTTGCACCCAAGTTGCTAGATGTCAGTCCTCTGAATTTAATACAATCAAATTTGGTGGATATTTGTAAGCCATTAATTCATTATGGTATCATAACATTAATTGGCAAGGAACTACAATACTCCATCACACAAAATAGATCATTTTAAGTTTGCATATCATCATAATGAAATGACCATGTTTACAACTTCAGGATTAGGAACAGAATTGTTCCTTAAGAGGAAAGAAACCCAAAAAACAAACCCTACGAATAAGGTACCCCACCACCAGAATTTAACTGTTGATAAGAAGAGATCAGGAAAGCAAAACCAAACCCAGCAGCGCTAGCTGGCCTCAAACCTCAGACGAGACGAGAAAGAACAAGACCACTAAACCTACAAGCCATCCGCAATCTGAGTGAGCATATCGGAAAACCAATAAAATATTGTTGACACCGTCCTGAAAAGGACTCCCATTGCATTTCAACAGGGACTACCGTAAAAAGATATATAATTCATTTCAACTTTGAATTTTGCACCGATTTTGTTCTTAAACTAAAAATTGTATTGTGCCAATTTATTGAACACAAGCCTATGATGGATTTAAGACGGGTAGGGGTTTGTTGGTAAAATACTCAACGTCTAGGACTGGACAAATTAAAATCTAATATGAGGAATTTGCGACTCTTTTTTTACTAGGAAAAAGGACAAACTGAAAGGATCAGGTGCGGCTTTTCCATCTCTTTACCACTACAAATGGCAGAGTCTCGATTGCAAAGAAAAATGGCGTGCAAATACAACCCATCTAAACAAGTTGGACTCAACCCTGTTTGTGAAATTGAATTTACCCTGAATTCCATCTAATCTAATTTTGGTTTGAGGAATATATGGGATAAATAATGTCGCTACTCTCCTGCATGCCTCCAATCCAAATGTGATAAATTAATTGTTCCTGAGTCCTGACCAGAAAATTTTGAGTTTAAACTAGAATTAATGTAGTGTTTGTACTCAATGAATTAACCCATGCATTTACCTTTATTATCTTATATATTTCTACTTTTCAGAATTATTAATTACTTGAAAGCACATTTATGAAGATGCAAAAGATCCACTTTTGCTGTTCCATTGCAGCAACACCATAAGGGGCAGAGGCAGATGAGTAGTACTTCAGTACCTCCCAGTTCAT